TTATCACGCCTTGAGGTGGGGTGTCATTCAGTGTTCCGTCTGGGTGATCGTGGTTTTGGGGGGCTGGCTGCGTCCCTCATTCTATGTACCGATCCTGGTGACCAGCTGCCACTAACTCCTCTAGATGTTGTCTCAACAGCGTGCAGTTTTCAATGCGGTGCCCCTTTTCTTTATGGAAGGTGCACCGAAATCTTTCATCGTAGTCCTTCTGTGCCTCTCCCAATTTAGCTGGCCATTTAACGAAAGGTTCATCGCGTATCTCACTGAGAATTCGGTAGATTGGTTTCTTGAATACCGTGGTAATGGCAGTGCGGACTCTCAACCATCTTTTATCTCGGTCCTCATCGTTGTCTCGTCTGCCTCGTCCATTCTTGCTTGGACGTTTACCGTGTTGATTTTTGCCGTAGTCTTCTTATCTAGTGTTGTTGTTGCACCAGATTTTGCCTTGGCACGGGCGTCATCCTCCTCCACCCGAATATGTTGGTGCACTCTCTCCATCAAGGCTTCCATCGTGAGGGGTGGAGTCATAATAATTGAATCCCTCAATCTGTTTCCGACTGGAAGTCCTCTTTTCTATTGTGCGATGGCGAGATTGGTGGGGCAGTCCCCTATCTGGTTGAATGTTTCCCAGTAGCGACTGTTGTAGGATCTTAATGTTTCCTTGTCGCCCATGTCAATGGAGAGTAGCTGATCAATGTCCACTGGCGTCTTGGTGTTCATTCTAAACCTTGTTACAAACGCCTCCGCTAATTGCGCCCAGGAGGCTATGCTGTATTCTAGTAGCCTTTCGAACCAGGTTAAACCTAGGTCGCCAAGGCTGGATGGGAATAGGATGCACATCAAAGCTTCGTTCCGCCGATATACTACCATGACCTGGCGAAAGTGGCTTAAGTGCATGTAAGGGTCTGTCTTCCCTTCGTACGTGGTAAATTTAAGATGGATGAAGCCTGAGGGTAATGGTGCGTTCTCAATCGCCGAAACGAATGGCGAGCTATGTAGTCTGGCCAATGCTTTATCTGTTGGTTCATAGGCAAGATGCGGTATTGGCATTCTAACCTCGACGCTTCCATGCGTCCGAGGAGCCAACCGCTGAAGGGCTGAAACTCTGTACGGGTCGCATGCCCTAGCATCCTCCTTTCGTCGTGCCCTTTCTTCAAGCACAGTCCGTAAGTCGGACGATCTAGGCAACTCCGTTTGTCTGGAGGATGTCTGATGCGTATGTGAGGGCCGATAGGTACTTCCCTCAGCGTAAGACCTCAATGATTTCGTTCTCTCAGACCTGGAGCAACGAGTTCTGAAAGTCCTTCATTGAGTGTCGCCTGTCATGAGGCTCCTACTCTCTGCTTGCGATGGCGTGGTATGTCTACCACGATCTTCTGAGTGGCGAGGAGGCGTATTGCCTTTTGCGCCCTTCTCCTGTTGTCACCCATTTTCCTTTGATCTGGCGCTTCATGGCCTCCATGTCCACCGCCATCTTCCTTATTAGTTTATCTTGCTCTTTTGCGCGATCCTCCAGAGCTTGAGGGTCAATTCTTCGCCTTTGCCTTTTAGGACTTTGTGAGCGAAAGCGACGGGGGCTGTTGTTCCGCCTCCCCCTTGCATCCCTCCGGGGATTCTGTCGCTGGGGCTCTCAGTCCGCCATGGGAGGGATAGAGGGCAATCCTTCGCGCCTCCCACCCCCCTTTGGGGTTTGTCCGTCGATGGTGGACTGCAGCAAATCTTCGTTATGCGCCATTCAAGTAGCGAGGGAAACTTGATCAAGAGGTTTTGTTCTTTGTCTGATATTCCCACAGACAGTACCAATTGTACGGGAAAGAAATAAACCTTCTCGTATAATCCTGTTGATCATGTCTGTGCTCCTCCGTACAACGTCGCTTTACTCCCTGAAAACACAAACGTGAGCTAGCCGGCGGATGTGTGCCGAATACCCCTCGATGCCTAAGTCAGCAAAATAGACAAATAGACAAAAGCTCTACGTATTCGGGAATCAAAGTTGTGTTACCTCTCCATAGGTGATGCTATGAGCTTTTATAGGTTCCGCGTGGCACAATCCTAGTAGGACTCTTACTCTTCCACATAGAGTCCTCCTTGGAATCATATTCCTGAAAGATAATGCTTATCCTTTAACACTCCACTTACTGCTTGAACCAAGTGAGATGGTTTTACCATGGTCGGATTCCAATATGACCGAGGTAAGCATGGCTATGCTAAGCCACAGAGTAGACCGAACTATCTAGTTCGGTTCTTCCTTTCACTGCTCTTACCTCGGTTTTTCCTGTACAACCCATGGCGTGCTTAGACCGAGCTAGCAAATAGCAAGGTTCTAACCGAGCTAACCACAGTACACTATGACCGAGCTTACTGCAAAGCTCTCTTGGACCAAACTAACTTCAAGATTTTCTCGGACCGGGCTGACTTCAAGGCCTTTTTTACTCAACCCTTCTTACTATGGCCCACAACGGCCCATTACCCAACTCGGCCCAATTTAGATATAAATTACCCTCTCATTTACAAATCAGATTTGGTTTTTAAAATTACAAAAAGGTCTCCCTAAACCTTTCCTGCCTTTAGAATGAACTTACTTTTGTTGTTTAATAAGCTCAGTACATTGGCTGGATATTCATGTACCTGGAACCACTACCAATCTGTAAGTGCCTGTAAATAGAAATTATTAGTTACTCTTTAAAATGTCTTGCTGACCGCTTGTGTTGTGTTCCTCAACTTCATTTTTACTTATTTTATTACGTTGTAAGCTATGTTTTTTTATTGTTGTTATTTGGACTTCAACACTTCATAAAAAACAAGATTTGGTGTGTGGACTTTAACTTGCATGGCTGCAGACTCTCGCAGAGGGTGCAATGGTGGGGTATACTCCCAAGGGAATGCAACTTGCTCTTGAGACGCTAGTAAGTTTGGGTTTGCTGTTGATTTGGTATGAACTACTCAATATTTTGATTATTTTTTTGATCTATGTTAGGTTTTTATTCTTGGCAACCCCGTTTGACAAAACTCCTTTCAGTTGTATTTATTTTCGCACTTATATTTCAGTGAGGCTATGAGTTTATTAGATGCGAATCCAAACCCGAATCGAACCATGCAGAGAAGTTTGTGATGTTAATGCTTTCAAGATTGCTTTGATTGTTTGATTGGAATTGTTATATTCTGCTTAAAATTGATACATAATCACAAATCAACATCTAGGGGATTTCTAGATTTTTCAATCTACACTCATGATATGATACCCCTACCTTCTCCAGGAAAATATGACCTCGAGGGACTTTTTCTTGAGCCCAAAAATGGGAAATGATCTCCTGCTTGTAGCGGCCGGTGAAAAGGTAGTTTCTCAAAAGAAAAAGCATTAATTTCTTGCGGTGCTATGTATTCAAACTTGTTTTTATTATCCCTAATAGGGTGGTCAGTTTATTTGAGATTTACATATTTGTTGCAGACTGGTGGATATACCATGGCCAATTACGCAAGGGACCTGATGCAAGCTCGTAAAATTATCCCTTCACCCCCTTCTGTTGAAGCATACTACAATGGCTTAAAAGTGAGTCTCCTTGCCTTATTAATAAACTTATTTTATTTTAATCTCGTAAATTTTCAATTTGTAATATACCAGAAAAGAAAACATCGTTCACAAGATTTTCAATTTAGCCTAATGCTTCCGTATCCACAGAGTGGGGATCTTTCTGGGAAATCATTATCATTAAACATGTCTGAATAGGGATTTGGATATGGTTGAGAACTTTATTTAGTGTTTCATCATAGAATTAACATTTTTTTTAGTTGTGCATGAGGAGCACACAATAGGGCAAAGATGAGCATTAAGTTGGAACCCTTGTCAAGCCTGGGAAACTAAAGCTGGAGATGCAATTTGGGAAATGAGATATAATCACCAGAAATATTTTTAGACAACTTAGACATTAGGTGCTTATTTCTCGGTGGCAATCAAGGATGGATTTTTGATTTTGAAATCCATCATAGAGGGAGAAACTAAACCTATTCTTTTGCATGAAGGCCAGTCTTAAGACCTAACATTCCATGAGGTGCACACTTGTAATCTCTGAAGGATGGGAATAACTATGTAGCATCTACATCGAGAATTCATGTTTATGTTACGTCATTAGCCCAATCCATTGTAGGAACTAACCGTATTTTAACGAACGAGCAAAATGGATGTGTATATCATAAAGTGATTTATTATTCCTGACCTTGCTTCACTGTAGTTATTTGAACAAGAATTTTGTGCCTTGGACGCATGCTGTGCACAAACAACATGAATTGAACTCTAAATGGGAGAAACACACATTTATTTGCCTTTGAAACTCTGAATACGATTTAACAAAGTCTATGCTCTGCCTCTTAGGAATATGGCGAAATTCTTAAATCAAATTGTACATTATGGAAAGTTTGTCCTTAAGTTGACATCTCGATTATTGACTGATTTGTCCATTTGTCTTTACATCATTGGTATTTTTTTCTCTCTCTTTCTTTCCAGGTACCAAGGATTCTCTAGAGTTTTTTTTCCTAAAGTTTCCTAAAGTGGTGTATTGTGTGATTGAGATTTAATGCTGCAAAATTGATGTGACTTGTCATTAAATCTCAACCACACAATACACCACTCTAGAAAATTTTAAGAAAAAAAAATCTAGAGGATCCTTGCTCCTTTCTAGGAGCATGATATACCTGAAGACGATCAATGAATGATCATAGTCACCCGAACTTACAACAATTTGCGCCAAAAAATAGGACCGGGACCTGGCCGTGGACAATCATAGTTGGAAAGAAAGTTGTCTGATGGCATGACCCGTCAATTCTTTTTTGGTTGTACCCTTTGTTATTGCTTCTTTGAACAATGTATTACTCGAATAATTAATTGCTTGATAGATTTTTGTATTAGTTTAATCTTTATTTTTTCAGAGATGATGTCTTATTATGAGTCAGAATTCTCAGTAGATCCAAATTTATACATCTTTGGTCCGGATGTCGTATGAATCATGTTAGGAAAAGGTTTTTGCATAATATTATCCTTAAATTTTTGAATCAAATTTGAAAAAATATTATTAAGACAAATAGATGAATTTTTCTCACGTCTAAGCCCAACTAGCCTTATATAATTGCTCATAGTTGTACTTTTTAATTTTATTTTTGACTAATATATATTTGAAAAAGGAAAATATAAAAATTCACTATATCAAAACTGCAAATTTAAGATTTTTAATCTTTATTGTTATCAAATTAACCCCTCAGTAGGTCCAAAACGAAATATTAGTCTTTTATTAATTGATGATTAATATTACTCAAATCTAGAAGTGGGCATAGGGTTATCCGACCTGTCTAACCCGCCCTACCCTACCCTACCCTACCCGACTGGCAGACCTTTGGATAGTTTCACAAACACGTTAGGGTCGGATGCGGTTTGGATTATGGCTGAATTTCGAATTGCGGGCGGGTTGCGGGTTTGAACCGAACCCGTCCAACCCGCCCACTTAAACAAAAAAAAATTTAAAATTTTATTTTATATGTAAAATCTGGACGGTTGATCTTCATCTTTTTTTTTTTTTTTTTTTGGTTATAGATCTTCATCTTTAGGCCTCGTTTGGGAACAGGCTAATTTAGTAACTTTTTGGCTATTTGGCTAAAATATGAGCTAAAAAAAACTAGTATGTTTGGGATGACTTTTTGACTTTTTACGAAAAGATGTGCAAAAAGTAGAGAGAAAAGAGAATCTTTGACTTTTTGATATGAATGGTTGACTTTTTGACTAATTTAATAATTTTTTGATTTTTTGGCTAAACATGAGGGTTCCCAAACGAGGCCTTAGTATAACAAACAAAAGTAAAAAAAAAAACCATAATCTCTCACAATCAAACACGTTGGTGCCGTTTGATAACACTTATGTTTTCAGTTTTCTGTTTATATTTACAAAATTTAAAAAACTCAAATAAAAACTTGTTTGGTAAAATTTTTTATTTATAAATCAATGATCTCAGTTTATAAATTTGGCTAAAAAATAAAAACACAAAAAATGCGTTTCCGTTTTGAGTTTTGAGTTTTTTTTTTTTTTACCACCCAAAACTAGCCACCCCCGCCACCATTTTCCACCACCGTCTTCCGCCACCACCACCCACCCCTCGCCACCACCACTAGGGGTGTGCACGGTGCAGGTCATTGCAGTTTGAGAGAAAAATAGAAACCGTATGGCGGGTGGCGGATTGATAAAAGTGTCACTAGAATTTGCCATTTTTCTTATCAAAAACCGGCGGTTCAGTTGGCAAATAATGGCGGATTTGCCTTGGCGGTTTATAAAAAATATAATTCAAATTACAAAACTTAAATCAAAGAGTAAAAAAAAGACGAGAGATACCGTGATGTTAAGCATCTTACGAAGCTTTCTTCTGATGCAGCAAGTATAGCAACAACATGATAATATCAACGACTATGCCATCAATTCATTACAAGCATATGCGGAAGCTACAATGATCAAATACAATACATAAAATTAATATCATTCAGGGTTTAGAATATATTGAAAATGTTTACTGTTGAAAAGTATTTAGATTAAAAAGTGAGCTGATGCAAGTTTGCAACATGGCCAAAAAAAAAAAGATTGAAAAGTGAATTGGAATCCAACTTTATTTTGGATTACTGACATCTTGAATTCCCCTTGAGCAGTAATTTAATACTATATTCTAAGGTATAGAACAACAAGCAAACTTAAGTAAAAAAGAATTTTTAGAATCTTATAAAACATGATTTAATAGCGGTGCGGGTCGGGGGATAAGTTGGGAAAAATAGAAACCGGCGGATTGAAAAAAATGTCACTAGAATTTGCCATTTTTCTTACCAAAAACCGGCGGTTCGATTGGCAAATGAATGAACGAAATTATGCCTTGGCTGGGTGGCGGTTCTGGTGCTAAGTTTCGGGGGTGGTGGTTTGTTCGGCGGTATTGAGCCACCCCTAAAGCCCACGAGCCATGACCACCCACCACCCACTTGCCTCCACTGATCCAGCCCCAAGGCCCACGCACCGCCACTATAACCGAATGCCACCGGGCCGCCGCCACGCAACTACCTGCCACCCACGATACTTGCCACCACCACTCGCGACCACACGCTGCACCTAACCACCGCCATCCTCACCACTTGCCACCAGTCGTCCTCAGCCACCCCACGCACCACCAGCCACCTACCTCCAGCCGCCACCGCAAACCAACCAGCGACACTTGCACCTGCATGCTCCGCCACCACCACTCGATCACCACCCACTACTAACCACCACCACCGGCACACACCCACGTACTACACCGGACCACCACCAAACACTATACCCATCACCCACGCAACGGCGCACGCTGCCGCACCAGACGCCACCCCGCAACCACCAGACACCACCACTCGGCTACCAACCGGCACCCACCCACCACCCGTCACCACCGCACCCACCACGCAGCTACCACCTCCCTACCACCACGTCTATCTGCCACCCACACCTGCACACCAGCTAACCGCACTCGTTAACCCACACACGGCCACCCGCTCACCCGTCACCACACTCCACCCCATCACCACCACAACTGCCGCCCAATCGACCGACCGGTCACCCCTCTACCCGCCATCCCGCCACCTGGGACCTGCCACCACCAGCTTTCACACCGCGCGCTATCGTACCTAGGCGCACACACCTCCACCATCACCGCCCATTCCACCACCACCGCGCATCGGCGCCATCCTGTAACCTGCCACTACGGAACCCAACCACCGCATCACTCAGCACCACTACTGCGCATACCACTACCAAGCAACGCCACCGTCATCCACACCCACCCACTACCACCACGGCCGCTCACCCCTAAACTTACATGACCACGCACCGCACCCGCCCACCGCCTCACCCTGCCACTACGCAACCGCACCGTGCGCCTACCCGACCGTACCACCGAACGCACCACCACTCCGCTCATCGCGACCCACGCTGACCTCCACCGGGGTCACCTCCACCCACCCGCGCCACTCCACTCACCAACTCACAACTAGCCATCACGCACCCACCGTCACACCTTTCCAACCACGTCTTCCACCACGCGAGCTTGCCACCGATTTGCCATGAATCTCACCACTGTTTTTATATTTATGTTTTTCTAAAAATAAACCAAAAAAAATAAAAATAAAAATAAACAAAAACCAGTCACTCTCTCTCTCTCTCTCTCTTTCATCGCACCGATCGCGACTCTGCTTTCAACTTTGTTTTCTCATCGCACCGATCGACCTCTAGTTTGTCATCGCACCGATCGACCTCTAATTTCTCATCGCACCGATCGATCTCTGCTTTCTCATCGCAACTCTGTGCGCAGCTTCACTTCGAATCTCACTCTCTCGTGTTTCGCAAGATCGACTCTGCTCTGCAATTCACAGGTAAGACTCTGCTCTGCTCTTTAGATCTGTCTATCTGTTTCTCTCCACCGTCTCTTTTATTTTTATTTTTGTTTTTTTTAATTATTTTTTTATGCAATCAGATGTGTAAGCAATAGATCTGTGTTAAATCTGTTAAATTTGTATTAAATCTGTGCTAAATCAGATGTTTTTATGCAATCAGATGCGTATGCAATCTGATTTTTTTTATTTGTTTATTTGTTAAATCTATGCTAATCTGTGTTAAATCTGTTATTCAATTTGTGCGATATGTGTTTGAATCTATTATTCAATCTGTTATTAATCATTAATTATTAATTATGTTGAATTTGTAATTATTAATTATTAATTATATATGTTATTGAATTTGTTATTAGATATGTTATTCATTCTGTTATTCAATGTGTTATTCAATTTGTTGAATCTGTAATTATTTAAATTATGTTGAATCTGTAATTATTAATTATGTTGAATTTGTAATTAGATCTGTTTATGCAATCAGATTTTTTTTTTTTTAATGTAAATTATGCAATCAGATAATGTAAATTTCGTAATGAAATTTGTAATGTAAATTATGCAATCAGATTTTTTTGAAATGTAAATTATGTTAGGCAATCAGATCTGTTTAGTGTTTATGCAATCAGATTTTTTTTTTTTTTTTTTTTTTTGTAGCAACAGATCTTTGAGATTGAGATTAAATATGTTCTTGTGTGACTAAGATTCTGTTTGTGTGACTAAGATTTGTTTCAATGGTGATTGGAATTAAATCTGTAATTGGAATTAAATCTATTCATTTTTAAAGTAGTTGAAGAATGAGATTGATGATTTACTTTAATTGTATTGTTATGTAGTAGATTAATTTTGAATGATTTTATGATTTTGAATGATTTTAGGATTTTGAATGATTTTAGGATTTTAAATGATTTGTTTGTGTTAGGAATTGATTTTGAAGCATTTTAGAAAATTGATTTTCAATGATTTGTAAGTTTTGATGATTTAATTATTAATGTTGAAGCATTTTAGAAAATTAGAAGAAAATGACCCAAAATAAATATTTACAAAATGGAGAAAAAAATTCAAAAATTAATTTTTAAAGGGAAAAATTCAAACCGCAAACCACCCACAACCGCCGGCACATCCGCAAACCCTATCCGCGCAAACCGCAAACTGCACTGTGGGCGGTTGTGGTTTGACTTTTTTCCAAACCGCAGAGGTGCGGGCGGGTCAAAATCGAACCGCAAACCGCACAAAACCGATCCTGGGCTGAACTTCACAAATAATCTTTTGGGGAGGTCAATGTATTGATTGTATGTTCGAAGATACTATACGCTCTATGAAACTAAATAAACTGGATCTCTTCGGCATATAATAAGTTTCACATTTTTGAAATAATTACATTGAACTCCCATAAAGTTTAAATTTACATAATATTGAGTTCTTTTTCATTAGTAATTCATTAGTCAAATAGATAAAAAATAGATTTTGTTATCTTTTATACATTGAAATATATATTTTACTTTATTTACTTTTATGTCTTCACACAATTTGTATTAATTTTGGCTTCTTAAATCTTTAGGTAAATTATAAATATACCTCCTGAAATTTATTTAAAATACAAAATTTCTCCTGTGATTTTACAAATTATTAATTTTTTATTTAACAAAATTAACAAAAAAAAAAATCTTAACTACCCTTTTACACAATAATAAAATTACTTTGAGATATATTTATAACATCATTAAAAACTATTAGACATTTGCAAATAAACCCATCTCAACACCCCAGAATGTAACAACAACCATGTGGGGTTGGCTAGATCAATCCCCTTTCTTGATTCGGCTTTTTGAAAGGAAACATGTAATTTAAATGGTTTCATATGTTTGTCTTTGAATTTTATTTCCATATGTACTTGGGTTGACACTGGCTTTATAAAATTATATTGGTTTTGTTTCTCAGTTTTTATTTAGCTTTCGAGCTATATGCTTCAAAAGAAATCTTTTTTTTTTTTCTCTTTTTTTCTTTGGGTTCTGTGAATGCTTGCTTGGCCTACGTAAAATTCTAGATTTTTCTGTAATTGGCATCTCTTTTATGTTAATATATGAATTTTTACATTTTACAGTGTAGTTATTTGGTACTTTTAAAGGTTAGTATCCTTGAATTGTTAGAGGCATCATTTTGTGGTTTTTTAAAAGGGCTTAGTGCAGTTGTTTGTTTTACTCAGGTTGTTTGTATCAAATTAGAATGGTTGAGGTAGAACAAGAGGCAAATAAAACCACTCCGCTAGAGGAAGCAAACCCAAAATCCAGCGATGAAAGGACAGAAAATAGGAAGAAGAAAAGGAAGAGATAGTTATTAGAAAAATGCTTGGGAGCACTAATTAGTGCTCCCACTAATTAGGTGGCAGTGGGTCCCGCCATTAATGATGTGATGTTTTGGTCTTAGAATTGTGTTTTTTTTTTTTTTTACTTTTTTAATACATTAGTGCTATTAGTGGTGATATTTTTAGTGAGATAAATCATTGTTGTAGTTATTAAAGGAAGCTGCAACGGCTGACAAACGCGGGGTTTGCTACTTAAGTCGGATTCCTCCACACATGGATCCTTTGAAGCTACGACAGATTCTCTCTTAGTATGGAGAAATTCAAAGAATTTACCTTACACCCGAAGGTTCACACAAGTACCTTTTTTTTTAAAAACCAAATGATGCAAACTTTGCAAGAGATCATCAAGCATTTACTTGTTCATGTGTCTTTGTTGTACAACTTTTATTTTAGATTTGAAGTCATACAATTAGGGGTGTGCGCGGTGCGGGCCGGTGCGGTTTGAGAGTAAAATAGAAACCGTATGGCGGGTGGCGGATTGATAAAAGTATCACTAGAATTTGCCATTTTTCTTATCAAAAATCGGCGGTTCGGTTGGCAAATAATGACGGATTTGCCTTGGCGGTTCGGACGGATTGGCGGTTTATTAAAAATATAATTCAAATCACAAAATTTAAATCAAAGAGTAAAAAAAAGACAAGAGATACCGTGATGTTAAGCATCTTGCGAAACTTTCTTCTGATGCAGCAAGTGTAGCAACAACATGATAATATCAACGACTATGCCATCAGTTCATTACAAACATCTGTGGAAGCTATAATGATCAAATACAATACATAAAATTAATATCATTCAGGGTTTACAATTTATTGAAAATGTTTGCTGTTGAAAAGTATTTAGATTGAAAAGTGAGCTGATGCAAGTTTGCAACATGGCCAGAAAAAAAAAAAGATTGAAAAGTGAATTGGAATCCAACTTTATTTTGGATTACTGACATCTTGAATTTCCCTCGAGCAGTAATGTAATACTATATTCTAAGGTATAGAACAACAAGCAAACTTAAGTAAAAAAGAATTTTTAGAATCTTATAAAACATGATTTAATAGCGGTGCGGGTCGGTGCGGTTTGGAAGAAAAATAGAAACCGGCGGATTGATAAAAGTGTCACTAGAATTTGCCATTTTTCTTACCAAAAATCGGCAGTTCGATTGGCAAATAATAACGAATTTGCCTTAGCGATGCGGTTCGGTACGGTTTTGACGGTTTCGACGGTATTGTGCACACCCCTACGTACAATATCATGTAGCTATCTTGCTTGTACTTTAACAATTAAAGTACTCTACTCCTCACATTGGTTTATGTACAGATCCTGCGGCTCAGGTGCATCGTAAACGAGCTGGTGGATTTCAAGGAGTAGAATTTTCGGAAGGGTATGTGATTAACTTTCTTAATGGCTTAATGCTATATGCCGAACAGATCCAGTTAATTTAGTTTCATAGAGCGTATAGTATCTTCGAACATACGATCAATGAAAAATGTTTGAGGGCCACAAAAAGTGTGGCTCAAATGGCTCAAAACTGTCAAAACGACGTCGTTTTTACGACACAAAACGACGTCGTTTTGACAGTTTTGAGCCATTTGAGCCACACTTTTTGTGGCCCTCTACCATTGCTCTACGATCAATACATTGACCTCCCCAAAAGATTATTTGTGAAGTGTTTTTCTCCAAAAGGAGAAATATTTTGACATTGTCTTTACTTTTTTTTGTTCTAGTTTCATATCAATGTGGCACATAGTTATTACGAATGTACAATCATATAATAGCCTTTGGTGTGTACAGGTGGGTTGAATTTTCTAAAAGAAGTATCGCCAAGAGGGTTGCAAAGATGTTAACTGGTGAACAAATAGGTATATTGTAGATTATTTTTTCATCCGAGCTTTATTAGCTTATTTTTTTCCTGGATTTTATACTTATGATGAATTTCTAGCTATTTTAGCCTCCGTTTGGGAAGTGGGTTGGCTTTTTGGCTTTTTGACTTTTTTGGCTATTTTAGCCTGAGCTAAAAAGTTTGGTTTGCGAAGGGCTTTTTGACTTTTTGACTTTTTTTGTGAGAGAATAGTGTAATGATTATGGGTTGGATGTGATGTTTTATTTGTTGTGGCTAAAATAGTCTATTTTATCTTTTGTAGCTATTTTAGCCCCAACCGAACTTGCCAAACACCACGTGAAACTGGCAAAGTTGGCTATGTCGTGAATTGAAAAAAATAAAAATAAAAAAAATAACTGTTTTGCCTTCCTCTATTCAGAATGGAACATGTTTCAATCTCTCTCTCTCTGATGATGATGAAGGCTGAATCAATTGCTAGGGTTACCAAGATCATCTCATCTTTTCTCTGCGGTCGTGTATCCGAAATCAAAGGTCATGCTTCTCTTCTCTTCTTGGTTGTGTATCTGAAATCCCTAATTCATTCTCACTCCCAGCCGAGTCCTACCCTAGTCTCTTTCGCTCCTCTCTCTCTTTCAGCGGCCGCAACACCGTGTCCAGTACCCCATACAGCTACGTGGTGGTGCCGCCCTGTTTCAACCACAACAACAGAGTCTCTCACCCCTGGCATCCTCTCCAAACTTCTCCAAAATCTCAGCAACACTATCGCTGAAGGGTATTGAGAAGAAAGTGGGTGTGAAATGAGAGATTGAGGGTTTGGAGAGTCTTCGATCTTCGAAGCCATTGGTTAGCCCCCAATCACATTGTGGGTCGAATACAAAACCTAATTTGGGGGTTTTTGAGAAGGTCTCTGTAAAAAAAAAAAAAAAAAAAAAAAAGAAGAAGATTTTATGGATGGGTTTGATGAGTTTAAGATCGTAGAGAGATGGGTTAGAGAGAGAATGTGCTCCTTCATTGCGGAAGTAGCAATTTTCGAGAGTCACAGCAACAATGGCCGCAATGGCAACCATTGATTAGCCCCCAATCACATTGTGCGCTGAATACAAAACCTGATTTGGGGGTTTTTTGAGAAGGTCTCTATAAAAAAAAAGAATAAGATTTTATGGATGGGTTTGATGAGTTTAAGATCGTAGAGAGATGGGTTAGAGAGAGAATGTGCTCCTTCATTGCAGAAGTAGCAATTTTTGAGAGTCACAGCAACAATGGCCGCAATGGCTGCTCTTCCAAGCTCCTTCACTTCTATTTCTCTCTTCTCAAATTCCTTCTTAGGCCAACGCTACTCGTCCCTCTCCCTGGTATTTGCTCTGCTCTCTCAAATTTTGTTTCTCTTTAGCTTTTAAACCCATATTCTCATGGAACTTGAATTACCCATATTAATTTAATTTCAATTTTTTTTTGTGATTTTCATTCAAATTATGATTTTTTGTTGATAATATCATATGAGTTTATCACAATTTGGAGTAATTGTTCTTTACCTGGTCATATATCAATTATTAACCCTCAAGTACTTTGGCTTCAGTGTTTAATTTGAGCTCTTGTTCATAATTTTTGAATAGGTATGATGAGTAGATAGTTGGTTAATCAACCTTGTTTTTTTTCCTTTTTACTTCTCAAACCCATATGTTTTTTTTTCTTCTTCTTGATTTGAGCAATAATACCCAGAATCTATTGTTCAAATTGATTGTCGATGAAGACAATGTGCTCGAAATTCTCAACTGGGTATCTCTGTTTTTGGCTTGCCTTTTGTTGTATGTTTTGGGTTTTTCTTTTTTGCTTTTTGATTGGTAGGGTTTAAATTTGCTGGATATATATATACATATATATATATATATATATATGAAATGGGTTTGTTTTGTTTCATTGTGTTTGTCTTTGATTTTGATATAAATGGGAAAGGTAGCTCTTGGAAGAACCCAGTTCTGAACTTGGTTGAAAATTTGAAACTGTTTTGGATTTTTTATATAAATTTGAAAGGGTATTTTACAGGAAAAATCTAATTTGGGATTTGATTGAAATGAAAAACTAGTTGAATAAAGGAATTATTGCTCTTGCCTTTGATTCTCATTCCTTTCTTTGGCAGTGACTTTTAAGTGGGAAAGGTAATTTTTTGCTAAAGTTGTTTAATTTTTCATCACAAGTATTGACAAGACAGGAATATTTAAATGGATTTGTTTTAATTCACTATCTTTGCCACAGGGTTTGTTATTTATTTTGCTAGAATTTTATCGCTAATGGTGTTTGTGTTGCATGGTTTAGATGGGGTTTGTTTGTTTTACTGTTCTCATCTTAAATTTTGAATTCTTTGAAGGTTGATTAAGATGCCAATGTTTATGGTTAAACTCATTACGATTTTAATCTGGGATGTCTCAATTTTTGTTAAATATGCATCAAAATGAAGAATATTTGGTTGAGGTATGAGTTGTATGTCAGAGATATTAGACCGGAAAACAATGGTTCTTCCACTATTATTTTGTTGGTAATGTTGTTTTCGTAATATTGTTCTTTGAGTAAATCATTCTTTGTTTAGTAATATCATTTTCTTTGTGTAGTCCTTCACTAATGTCAATAATCGGGATGGTACATGATTTATACCCACTTTATGTCTTGTCCCTTTTCTTCTTCTTATGGTTTCCAATTTGCTTGAAAGCAACTGTTTTTGTTTTTAGTTTGGAATTTTGATTCCTATATATATATTGTGAGTGTGTGGGGCTCAGGATTGGGTGGGGGGGCTCTCCATGTCTAGTGTTGATTCATTAGGAAATTTTTTGGATATGATTTTTTTCCCCTGGAATCTTATTTAATGGTATGATGAGTTTCTGGACTCAATCATTTACTTAGAAATGTTCTCAAAATCATATTTCCTTTATTTTGATGAGTTAAAAAAAGGATATTTTTCTCTTTTTTCGGTTCTTCTCAAGATATGGAAATTTGTTTTTTGAACCAAATGCAAATTAAAGGCTGGTAACCATGGACAAAGGCAAATTATATAAGGATAACATGACCTTATTATGCAAGAGGAAAAGTTTGTTATTTACTTTTGATGTTTCATAAATAGTTGGTGAGAGAATCTATTTAGCCTTGTTATGTAAAATAGTTGTGGATGCCCATGACAGAATTGGATCTGAGGTGTGTAATTTTTAACCATTAATTTGCTTAAATGCTCTAGTTAATCCAGTTGATTTATGTGGTTGAAGGCTAAGAAGATCCTAGCTTTCATGGGGTCCCATTTTAGAGATTTTTAAGTTTGGAACTTATAGCAAGATCACTAATAATTCATACTTTATCATCTTGTTATTGAATTGCCCCTTGTGATCAGACTAGAGGGTTGATTCAACAACTAATGGCTATCTTAGAAGGACATTATAGTGGGATTCTGGGTTAGCTTGGGGGAAGTGCAATCATGGCCTTGCCTTTCTAATGTAGAACACTGCAGGGAAGAGGAGAGAATAAGAAGAAAATGGCCATAATCCTAACACAACAGCCACAACCTTAAAACAAACAATATTATAAATCCATACTGCATAATACAATGTATGATGCTTGGGGCTTGGAAGCAGGGATACTGACTGGAGGGTTGCTTGTTTTTGAAATGTTTGGTTAATTTGAATAGAGTTCAAGGCAGCAGGGTTATAGGTCTATTTTGAATGGAGTTACTTGTCTGGCTGCTGTGCTGGTATTTGTTGATGTTGCACTGGTTTCTGGTATTTGCTGAGATTAACCCATTGGTTCCTCAATCATGTCTGGTTAATTTGTCTTGCTGTTGTGCTGGTGTTTTTAGGATGATTGGAGGGTTGCTTGTTGTTTTGACATGTTTGCTTAATTTGAATGGAATTCTAGGCAGCAGGGTTATACGTCTATTTTGAATGGAGTTATTTGTCTGGCTGTTGTACTGGTATTTGCTAACCCATTGGTTCCTCAATCATATCTATCTTGCTGATGTTACACTGGTATGTGTTGATATTTTGTGTGATGCTGATGTTGTTGGCTCTTGCTTAGCAGTGGCTGCAACCTGAGGACTGGTGATAGGTTCTCGTTTTCCTGCCCTGTTGCTCAGCTGGTTTTTCTTTGCCTTTGCTCTGTTTGCTCTTTTTGTTGGTCTCTCACCAACTGGGAGGTTGGAGCTTGAAATAGCTCCAAGCTCCTCTTTATTGATGTAATTCATCGTAGTTTGTATGTGTTTCATCAATAAAGTCTTCTTTTTGCCGATCAAAAGAAAAATAAAAAATAAAAAAAAATGCCAAAACCTAATGCTTTTACATTATTACATAGACTAAAATTCCTAATACAAAATAGGAAACTACTCCCTAAAAATAAGAAACTAAATATTGATAAGATATTAAATTAAGCTATAATTAAAAATAAAATAAGTAAATTTTTGGATTCTTGGACAAGGATGTAGGTACATGTACAGGAATGAATTCTTGGATGGTCCTTTGATATGGGCAACAGTTACTATGTATTTACCCCAAGTTATGATCAGCTAGTGACTTGAATTCATTTTTATCTTTGCATAATTTCATGATGATGGATCCCTCGTCATTGTATTCCAGTTCCAGGAATTTTTCTAATCAATATGGAAACATGAGGCTAGACGTCGACGACATGAGTTATGAGGTGGTTAAATTTAACTGTAAAAAAAGTCATTTTTGTAGTCTTCCCCAGCTGTTACTAATGTGAAATTGGCTTTGGACAGGAACTTCTTGCTCCAGGGGAAAGGATAGGAAATGTCAACACTGGCTTGTCTGAAGATGTGATTTCGAAGTGTTTGAGAGAAACAAAGATCTATTCAAATCGAAGCCATGAAGAAGGAACCTTGCATCTGTCTTGTAAGTTATTATCGTATCTTGCCTCTTTGATGTGACCCAAAAACGGTATAAGGTTTCATCTGTGATTGATACCCGAAAAATGAAGAACATGTCTATGATTATCATAAGATGGAAAAGGGTGTCTAAAGAAACTTGCATTTTAGGCATCCTCTTTATAATGTTAGATTTGACAAGAATTTTGCTATATCAGCTCTTGAAATGACCCCTTTTTAATGTAGCTTTGCGTATTTGCTTCTTAAAATTGCATCAGGATTGTAAAAATGCAGTAGTTGTTGATATGAGAAGTCCATGGAACTATTTTGATTAGACAAATAAAGTTTCAAATTACTGAATTAAGATATTTCTTGGATATTTTTAGATGGAAAAATTCATATAGTAAACATTATTTATTTTAGGATATTTCTTGTTGTAAACATGTGTTATTTAGTTTGTGCTTAATAGTAAACATTTGGACCTTTCCAAATTCCACGGAAGGTCATTAGCACAAGGACATGACCCATTTGAACCTGGTTGATCATAACCTGAATAAATGAAATGCCAGACATTTTGGAAAATCCTTTCATGGGATGTTGCTAAAATATTAGGCATGCACGAATATTACTAATAATCACGAATTTTTAGTTTTTTCTTCGTTTTCATTGAAGTAGATTAATTTCACCTCCTCCTCTTTTTAAATTTGATTTTTCTCTTGAGCTTCTTATGGCCTGGATTTAGTAGCAAACTATTGAGATATTAAATTTTTGCTAATTTTTCATTATGACATTGCTTTTATGGGGCCATTGAATTATCTTACTAATTTTGGAAATATTTTGTCGATGTTTTAAAATTTCTTGATCGTCTCTTAATACCTCAAGAAATATTTTTGTTCCTGAGTCGTTGGTTTTTATACTTATGTGAAGTTTCATTTGTCATGCAGACAAGAAATGCAACAGGTTAATTGTTCCAGTTATTGCCGCGGGCTTAGGTGTCTTAACACATACATTGGACACCCTTGTCCTTGTGATAGGAGCAAGTGGATTTGCTACAACTGCAGCTGCAACTACTATAGGAACTGTTGTCGGTGGTTTTAGATGATCTCTTAATAGTTGTCGATATGTTTAGAAAGTTAGATATGCATAGTTTTGGATGGTTTAAACTTTTTGTACAGTTTAGAATTTAAGAATATAGTTTTCGAATGTTTGGAATGTATAGACAATTGTTGAATGTTTATAATATATAGATATAGTTTCTTTTTGATGTTTCAAACAATATTTTGGTGGCTGATTGATGTTTTGTGAAACTTGTTTGTAATATTTGTTAGATTGTACAAAATTGGTCAAATAAAACCTGCTGAATTAAAATAAATAAATAAAATAAAATAAATCATATTATATGGCAAGCACAATAAGCCATTGTATTACATATTTTACGGCGCGCAATCAGCGTCGTTATTTGTCTCACCAATTAATGGCGTGCAAAAGTAGTTATAGAAAAAATAACGATGACGCACAAAATCTACCATTTAATAGTTTTTAACGGCATATTCTAACATGTAGAAAAAGTAATTATGGTGCACAAAATTTGCCGTTAAATAGTTTAACGGTGTACGAAGCATGTCGTTGAAAGTAAATGACTTTTCATGACTGGTTATAATATGAAGTGCACTGCACGTTGTAGAAAGGTTTTTACAGCATGCATTATGTGCCGTGAAAACCTTTTTTTATTGTAGTGACTAGATTTCCAAAAAGGTTTAAAATATATGTATTGTTTTATTCAAGAGTTTTGGATTGTAACAAATGAAACCCTGGTGACACCACTGTTCTAGTAGTCATTCGTATTAAATTTATATGGTCTCGTGTGGATTTTAATGTTAGATGTACATGATAGCTCGTATAAAATTAAAAAATTGAGACGACATTAATAATGACATATCAAATGACCCCCACTTATTAAAAGTCCTAGCTACGCCATTGCATTTGTTGTTAGTTATGTTCATATATACATATATATTTATGTATATATATATATATATATATCAAGTTGGTTGTTTTTAGGTTTGTATATTCTAACTTGTCAAAGCAATTGACAATGAGATTTGTATATTCCCAATTTGTTTGATTATGCAGTGAAAGTGTTTGTTGTTATGCTTGTGAGAAGCGATTAGTAAAAATTTTATGATCATATTTGTAGAAAAATTTTATAAACACAAAGAAAATTTGTCAAAACACAACACACACACACACACAAAATGTGAGCAAGTCAAAACTATTTGTGAGCAAACCAGAAAATTTTCAAATTAGATAAATTTGTTTGTATTTTAAGATTTCTCTGAATTAAAATTTCTTTGAAAAAATATTGAAAAACCCCAACCACTATAAAAATATTACATATCTTTTATCTTAAAAAATTTTAATACAAGAGACCTAAAAAAAATTGTCCTTTTCTAAAATCCGCTTAGTTGTAATTCTCCCTAGTTTTTATTAAGAAAATGAAGTTTAAATCTCAAGAGAGACAAGATAACATTAATAAATCTCCAAACAAACATAGCTTACACTCAACTTGCTTCATCACTAGACCAGGGCTGGCCTTGAGTTTCCGGAGGCCTAAGCCGAAATAATTTTTTGAGGCCTTTTTAGATATTTATAAAAATAAAATAAAATCACTATGTTTGGTTTAGAGTTTTTAAAAATAATTATCTGAGTTTGCAATTCATATTTTTTTGTATTTGGTAACTTTAAAAAAAAAACACAAATATTATAGTTTTTAAACGTATCTAAATTAGATGTATCTACAAAATAAATAAATAAAAATTGTGTAAAATATTTTTTTAAAAAATACTAAAAAACACAAAATTAGGCCACAAAGAGAAAAAAAATAGGCCACACAAAATTAGGTTAGCAACTAATACATATACATATATTTTATATTTTATTTTTTTAATTGGACCAACAACTAACACTTATAAATATTTTTTTAATTGAGTCTTTTATCAATTGGGTCAAATAGATTTTTTGAGACCCCTTTAAAATGACCTAAATTAATTAAATAGAATTAGGCCATTTTAAGTTTTTAATATAGTGCAAGACTAACAAATTTATGACCTTTTTTTTGGGCTAATTTTGGGGGCCCTAGGCACAGGCCTCATCAGCCTTAGCCTAGCCCAGGGCCGCCCTGCACTAGACCAATAAATAAAGAAAAGAGAAACCCAATTGAAAATATTTTATGTTCTTTAAGTTATAAAATTTTAATAAATTTTAATAGGAGAGATTTTAAAAAATATTCCTCTATAGAAAAATGATTCACAAACCAAAAAAAAAAAAATTCATACAAAAAAAACAATAAAATTTAAAAAAACTGTACCTTTCTTGGCCACATAATTAAAGAAAAATATTTTACAACTAAAAAAAGTTATACAAAAATGAAAATGACATTTTAAAATTTTCAGTTTAAATGAATAGACTTGCCTATCGTCTCATTAAATGAATAGACTTACCTATCGTCTCATTATTGTGACACATTTGATCTTAAATTTTGAATCTTATTCCAAATAAGCACAATTAAAAATATCATTAGATTTTTTAAAGGTAAAATTGTCAATTTAATAAAATATAAATTAATTTGACAAAAATAAATGTCAAAAAATTATTTTTAATTTTTTAAAAATTATTTTTATCCATCAATGATAAAATTAATAAAAATTACATGATTAATTTTTTAAAATTAATTTTCCATGATCATCATCCAAACACATAATAAAAATTAATTTGATAAAAAAAATAAATAAATATCTAAAAGATTTATCTATTTTACATAATTTTATTTTTAGTGGGTATAAATAATTTTTAAAAATTCAAAAATATTTGTTTGACATTTATTTTTGTCAAATTTAGTTTATATTTTATCAAATTGATAATTTTACCCTTAAAAATTCTAATAATATCTTTAATTATCCTTATTTGAAACAAGATTCAAAATTCAGAGTCAAATGTATCACAATTGAAAAATTAAGACCAAAGTGACACAAGTCCCAAACTATAGATCCCAAACTATAGAGACTGTCGGTCCATAAATTATTGGTAAAAAATCACCATCCAAACTTACTAATTTGTCTGACAACTACCCTGAGTTGGGAGAATTACTGTTAACAGTTGGCTAAAGAAAAAATCATTTACAAACATGGAAGGATGCAATTTTCATAATTTTTCACTTGCACCCTACATTTCACCACAGATTCATTGCATTTCCCATATTTTAGTAATTTTTTTCTCTATCTCTGGTTCACTTTTATTTCTCATATTTTTATAATTTTTTTTCCCTGCGTTACTGTGATTTACTAATTTTATAATTTTATGCGCATAAAATTTAATAAACAAATAAATTAAAAAAATAAAAATAAATAAAATAAATAAATAAAATCAGCAAACTTTGTGGTGAAAAATGGGAACCAATTTGTCCATTATGGAGCAACAGGCTTTAAACTTTACAATATATAGTCACCTTCTTCTTCCGATCTAACCTCAGAATATCAAATTTCTCAAACTACTACATCTAATAGGTAGAGAGAGAAAAGAGAGATCAACTCATTTTTCATTTAAGTGGGGGGGTTCAATTGGGACCCCAACAGCTTAAATACATGACTTTCCTGAGAGACTCCTCTGCCTGCTTTGCCTTCTCTTCTCTTATTTTACTAGAAACCACGGCGGACGACGAGGGAAACAGTTTCTTGGCCTGAGAGTAAGCCCTCACGTTGTTCTTGGCGTGGTGGTGTATGGATCTCATGGCATAGTTCCATCTGCAGAACCCTTGATCTTTGAGTGCCTCCACAGCCCCAACGCTTGCTGCCACAATCCAAGCTCTGCTTGCCGAACTCATCTTTTTTCTTCTTCTTTCTTTAAATTGCTAATGATCTTTGAGTGACTGATATGAGAGGTTTTTGAGGAATTTCGGATTTGTTGATGAAGTTTGCAATCTGAGTGGGTCTATATATATAAAGAGGTGAACACTGAATGGGAAATGAAACAAGAGGCGGTAGGTACTAGTTGCTGTTTTACGAGAAAAGTTAGGAATCATGAAAATAATCATGAAAGATTTATGATTCTTAGATTACCTTGATTAGTGTGTAGTACTTTATTCTAAGTGTAATCTAAAGATCACAAAGCTTTTATGGTTATTTTCATAAAAGGTTTTTCATGATACCTAACATTACTGCTGTTTTATTGGTGGTTTGGGGACTGGTAAGCAAATGGGTTTGAGTGAGACTGTCGGTGAGAGATTTTTTGGAACCTTTTGGATTACAATGACTGTTTTACGCATTCTACTTTTCCAAGTGGTATTGGACTTGGGAGTGAAAAGATTGGTTGGATATGTTACCTTACTTCGTATAATTTGCTTCGTATCCCGATTTTATATGGTGGTTCTATTTGGAGCCGAAAAGATTGGGTAGATATCTTAATTTAATGAATTTGTTTTTACTATTATTATGCTCTTGTTTAATATGATTAAAAAATACTTGATATTGAAAAAAATGTAAGTCATAGTGTTTTGGCCATCCTATATCATAATCAATCTCAATCTTCTCCTTTATGTTTTCACTTTCTTCATTTTGTATTTTCGTACTCAACATATTTTTTTTGAATCCAGCATTCTTTGTATTTTATTTCATATTAAAATTAACAATGGACAATAAGGCCTAGTTTGGAAAGACTAAATAAGTGTACTTTTTGACTTTTTTTTGTATTATGTGTAGAAAAAGTAGAAAGGAGATGTTGATTGATGTGATCCAAAAAAGATAAAAAGATGAAATAAGTGGACTTTTTTCTTTGTAGCCAAACTTGACCTAAAGTAAACGTTTTCAAACTTGTTTTTTTTTTCCTTTTTATTTTATAGATGAGGTACCTTCTCTCTTTCATCTTCTACGTTTTCGATAGTGGGATTTACAAAATTTTTGACATTGAATAATCACACATATTTCATTTCTGAAAAATTTAATCAAAATTCCTCTATTTGACCATTTTGGTGAAAATGACAGTCCAATTTATTTTACTTCATAAACCCTCTAAAGAAAAGACACATAATTGAATAAGGACAAAATAAATATTATTTTATTTTTTTAAACAATATTGTCAGAGTAACATGTAACTGTGAGACATAGTAACATCTTACTGTCAAATAAAATAACATGTTATTGTTTACATCAATTTCGACAGTAACATTTACAGAGTAATATTTTACTGTCAAATAAAAAAATATGTTAC